GGAAGGAAAAGTCAGAAGGCTGAGCAGGAGTCACACGTGTGATTGGCTGAGACAAGAGTAATTCACAATATATTTATATCAGATTAGGTTACAATTTACTATGGATAAGGAAACCTATGTTATGTACAGAGGTAGCTGCAAGCCAAATGTCACTCATCATGTCTTAGCCTATTCAACTTCCTTTGGACTTTGTTCAGCTCTTTGTTCTCTAAGCACTTTCCTTCAGATCTTCCAAAGTGCACTGAAGTCTTGCATGGTGATCTGAAAGACCACAACAGCCTTGAACCTGTGGCCACTAGGCAACAAATCACCAGAGATCACAATCCTCTGAAGTACCGGAGCCTTGCATTTATTCTAATATTACTTTCTGGTCACACTGACTAATCTAGTTGCAGTGTTTCTGTCGTTTTATAGCCAAGCTGACCAGTCCCATAAGGTACTGGCCTCACATAATCTATTATACCTGTACAGACATGTTTACTCAGACACTTTCCTAATCCTTGAAGTCAAAGAAACCTGTACCATATACCAAAGAGCAATACATTGAAGCATTTGTTATTATTATTAAAATACTATTAAAATTTCTTCTCTCATGTAATATATCTCCACCACAGTTTCCCCTCCCTCTACTCCTCCCAGATCCCCACCACCTCCCCTCTACCCCAGATCCACTCCTCCTCCATCTCCCATCAGAAAAGAGTAGGCCTCTAAGAGACAACAACCAAACACAGCAAAACGAAATACATTCAGACAGGGCGAAAGCCTCACACTGAAGCTGGACAAGGCAACTGAACAGGGGGGAAAAGAGTCCCAAGAGCAGCCAAAAGAGTCAGAGACAATTTCACTCCCACTGTTAGGAATCCCTCGAAAAACACCAAGGTAACAGCTGCAGCATATATGCCCAGGACCTGGTGCAGCCCCAGGTAGACCCAGGCTCTGCTTCAGTCTCTGTGAGCCAGTATGAGCCCTGCTTATTTGATTTAGTGGACCAGGCTCTGCTTCAGTCTCTGTGAGCCAGTATGAGCCCTGCTTATTTGATTTAGTGGACTGTGTTCTTCTGGGGTCCCCCATCCTTTCTGACTCCTACAGTCTTCCCTCTCCCTCTTCTGGAAGATTCTCCAAACAGGAGGGAGACAATGGAGGCCTCCAAGTTAGTCTCTCTTCCTCTCTCTCTCTGTATAATGTATGGCCATGAGTCTCTGCCCCCACTTCCATCTGCTGCTGGAGGAAGCCGCTCTGATGGTGACTGGACAAGGCACCAACCTGCAAGTATTGCAGAAGATCATTAGGAATCATTTCATATTTTGTTTAGACCAGTTGTGTTTGGTTCTACCCTAGGTCTCTGGGCTAGCCAGTCTCTGGTTCCTGGCCATCCAAGCAGTATCAGGCATGGGCTCCCTCTCAAGGAGGGGGCCCCTTGAAGCATTCTTGGAGCAGCTGTCCTTACACCCAAGCAACCTCAAGCAGATGCTATTTCACTGGAGCTTTCTGATTCTTCCATTGCATTCCCCTTACAGCCATGTCACCATCTCCAAAGAACATGTTGAGTTTACAAACTTATTTTGTCAGCTTTGGCTCCTGGCATGAGGAAAGACCAACACACACACACACACACACACACACACACACACACACACACACACACACAC